CTAAGATCAGGTTATCTTATCAACCCCCATCACTTCAAAAATTGGATTTGAATCTTCTGATCAATTCATCAGTGATAAAGTTTTTCTCATTCGTGTCCTGTTCCATTTGTATTTGATTTTTTTTTGGTCTTAGTTCATGCATTGCTTAAGGTTAGGATGTGCTCAGTGTTTTCAGAGCGCGGTGCGGATACAGTTTGGAGTGAGTTTGTAGTCCGTGGCCATCCCAGCAGGACTGGACGAATGCCAAGGTGCAGTGCTGGAAAGGCGGTTTGAAAACCCAGCGGTTCTGTGCACGATCCTGGCGTTGTTTATGCAGGACCAGGTCCTCCATCCCCAGGAGGTGGGCAGCTGCGTGTTGGAAATCCCTGTCCGAGCCACACTGACACGTGGGGATGATGCTAACGAGTCGCCGTGTCTCCTGTGTCCAAGGGCAGCCTCGCGTCAGAAGGGTTTATTCTGTCGCACGGCTGTTTACAGATGCCTTTGCCTGAAGCGTGTTTTAATGTCAGCTGGGGAAGGGTAGAAATCATTAAGGGCCGGAGGAGAACATCCCATGATACTCCCCAGGTCCCTTAGTTGCCGGGTTGCTTTTGCTCTGTCCCTGCTTCTGACGCGCACGGGACCTGCCGTGCCTTTGGGCAGAGCTGCTGCGGGATGGCGGCTTTACTCACTGTCTGGGATTCAGTTACCACTCCTGTCCTCCCTCCGTCGGTCTGTGCCTAGCGCATGAGATGGATTGTTAGTTTCTGAAGGACAGTCTGACATGGAGCCTAACCTCGGCGTTTGATCCCGAGCCGTAAAACGAGTAGAATCAGGCCTGTAGAACAGGTCCATGTCTCCATGCGGGCGTGGAAAGCAGCTTTGAGACAGCGCCGGGGGCCTGACGGGGACGGGTGCCCGCGGCAGCTCTGCCCGTTCCTGACGCCCGAGGTCGAGCAAGTGCTTCTCCTGCCTACCACTGCTGCTGTTCCTCGTCATACGTGTCAGCTGAAAAGCTGTTTCTGCCCCCTAATTATCCAAAAATACAAAGATTGTGATGCTCTTAAAAGCCCTCAGTAAGTGTGGCTCTACCAAAGCTGCTGAAGTAGCAGGTCCGATTGTCACGACAAGGATGTCATCTCTGCCCGTCTTCGCACGGGAGCGTGCCAGCGTGTCTCTCAGTGGGTGGATGGAGAGCAGCCCTGAGGAGAAGGACCTGGGGGTGCTGATTGATTGAGAAGCTCAACATGAGCCGGCAATGTGCACCCACAGCCCAGAAGGCCAACCGCATCCCGGGCTGCATCAGAAGAAGCATGGCCACCAGGTTAAGGGAGGGGACTCTGCCCCTCTACTCTGCTCTGGCGAGACCCCACCTGGAGTGCTGCCTCCAGCTCTGGAGTCTCCAACATAGGAGAGACACGGAGCTGTTGGAGCGGGGCCAGAGGAGGCCCCGGAGCTGCTGGGAGGGCTGGAGCCCCTCTGCTGGGAGGACAGGCTGGGAGAGTTGGGGGGGTTCAGCCTGGAGAAGAGAAGGCCAAAAAGGGGAGAGCTCAGAGCCCCTTCCAGTGCCTAAAGGGGCTCCAGGAGAGCTGGGGAGGGACTT